ATGGTTTTACAATAAAAAAAAGACATTTGGGGCTCTCGAGAAGGTTTTACATTTGTAATTCAAGGCAGTTGGGACCCCCGAGAAGGTTTTGCATTAAAAATAAGAGACATTAATTTGGTGGTCCCGAGAAGGTTTTACATTTTTAAAAAGGCAGTTGGTATCCCTGAGAAGATTTCAGATTAAAAAAATGACATTTGGGGCCCCCGAGAAGGTTTTACATTTTTAATGAAAGACAGTTCGGACTTCCGAGAAGGTTTTACATTAAAAAAAGACATTTCGCCCCCCGAGAAGGTTTTACACTTTTAAATAAGACAGTTGGGACCTCCGAGAAGGTGTTACATTAAAAATAAAAGACATTTGGCGCTCCCGAGAAGGTTTTATATTTTTAAAAAGGCAGTTGGTATCCCTGAGAAGATTTCACATTAAAAAATGACATTTGGCGCCCCCGAGAAGGTTTTACATTTTTAATGAAAGACAGTTCGGACTTCCGAGAAGGTTTTACATTAAAAAAAGACATTTCGCCCCCCGAGAAGGTTTTACACTTTTAAATAAGACAGTTGGGACCTCCGAGAAGGTGTTACATTAAAAATAAAAGACATTTGGCGCCCCCGAGAAGGTTTTATATTTTTAAAAAGTAGCTGGCATCCCCGAGAAGATTTCAGATTAAAAAAATGACATTTGGGACCCCCGAGAAAGTTTTACATTTTTAAAAAGACAAGTGAGACCCCCGACAGGGTTTTACATTTAAAAGAAAAATACAATTGGGACCCCCGAGAAGGTTTTACATTAAAAATAAAAGACATTTGGCGCCCTCGAGAAGGTTTTACATTTGTAATTCAAGACAGTTGGGACCCCCGAGAAGGTTTTACATTAAAAATAAGAGACATTAATTTGGAGGTCCCGAGAAGGTTTTACATTTTTAAAAAGGCAGTTGGTATCCCTGAGAAGATTTCACATTAAAAAAATGACATTTGGCGCCCCCGAGAAGGTTTTAAATTTTTAATTAAAGACAGTTGGGACTTCCGAGACGGTTTTACATTAAAAATAAAAGACATTTGGCGTTCCCGAAGAGGTTCTACATTTTTAAAAAAACTATTGGGACCCCCGAGAAGATTTCACATTAAAAAAAATGACATTTGGGGCCCCGAGAAGGTTTTACAATTTTAAATAAGACAGTTGGGACCTCCGAGAAGGTGTTACATTAAAAATAAGAGACATTTGGCGCTCCCGAGAAGGTTTTATATTTTTAAAAAGTAGTTGGTAATCCCGAGAAGATTTCAGATTAAAAAAATGCCATTTGGGGCCCCCGAGAAGGTTTTACATTTTTAATTAAAGACACTTGGGACCTCCGAGAAGGTTTTATATTAAAAATAAAAGACATTTGGCGCTCTCGAGGTTTTATATTTTTAAAAATCAGGTGGTATCCCCAAGAAGATTTTACATTAAAAAAAATGACATTTGGGACCCCCGAGAAGGTTTTACATTTTTGAAAAAGACAATTGGGACCTCCGAAAAGGTTTTACATTGTTAATTAAGGACAGTTGGGACCCCCAGAAGGTTTTACATTTTTTAAAAGGCGGTTGGTATACTCTATAAGATTTCATATTAAAAAAGTGACATTTGGGGCCCCCGCGAAGGTTTTACATTTTTAAGAAATACATTTGGGACCCCTGAGAAGGTTTTACATTAAAAAAAGGCATTTGGGTCCCCGAGAATGTTTTACATTTTATTTTAAAAAAGACGATTGGGACCTCCGAGAAGGTTTTACATTAAAAAAAGACATTTGGCGCCCACGAGAAGGCTTTACATAAAAAAAAACAATTAGGACCCCCGAGAAGGTTTTACATTCAAAAAGAGGACATTTGGCGCCCCCGAGAAGGTTTTGTATTAAAAAAAACAAAAAACAATTGGGACCCCCGAGAAGGTTTTACATTAAAAAAAAATACATTTTGCGCCCTCGAGAAGGTTTTACATTTGTAATTAAAGACAGTTGGGACCCCCGAGAAGGTTTCACATTAAAAAAAAAAAAATTGGGAGCCCCGAGAATGTTTTACATTTAAAAAAGAAGACATTTGACGCTTCGGAGAAGGTTTTAGATTTAAAAAAGGCAGTTGGTATTCCCGAGAAGATTTCATATACAAAAAATGAGATCTGGGGCCCCCGAGAAGGTTTTACATTTAAAAAGAAAGACAATTGGGATCCCCGAGGTTTTACATTTTTAAAAAAGAGATGTGGGACCCCGAGAAGGTTCGACATTCTTAAAAAAAAAAAAATGGTCGAAGATCACTTACGTACAGCTTGTCAAATCCGGCTCTTTCGAAAAATTAAAATATTTGATTTTTCGAATTTTATTCTTTTTTATGGGGTGGCGTCATCAATTTTTTAGGGGGAAGAGCAAATCCATTTTGATCAAAATTTACCATGTCTATGATAACTTTAAAACATCTCCAAGATTTCAGAACATTCGGTTTTGTAGTTCCAGATTAAATCAATAAAATAAATTCACGCATTCATTATTTTTTTTGAGTCACCCTGTATATGCAAATCCACAAAATTTGAATGGAATGATAAATCACAAGTACAGACTCATCAATTTTGTGGAGGGGATAAGTAAATATACAGGGTGTTTCATGAGTAATGCCGAGCCTTACAGGATTTGAAATGCAACACACAATACATTTTCAGAGGCATAATTGATGTTGACAAAAAAACAAATTACATATAAAACATAAACAAATAAACAATATTAATGCAACAAATGCTCAAAATGCCGTCCTTCATTCTGTTGGCGGGCTTGGAGTCTTGCCCAAAACGACCTTTTCACTCATACTAAAATTTCGGGTGTAATAAGACGGCATTCTTCAGAAATTCTTTGTTCCAAATGTTCCACACTAAGGATTGGTGTTTAATAAACCCGTTCCTTCAGAGTGCCACGGATTTACTGAACCTCTTCCTATCCAACGATCTTCAAATGTTTCATTTAAATATTCCCGCACAGTTAGCCGAAAATGTGGCGGAGCTCCATCCTGTTGGTACTATAAATTTTGCCTTGTTTCTAAATCTCTGTCTTCTAGAAGCAGTGGCAAATCATTTTGAAGAAAATTAAGGTACCATTTAAAATGCCTGTATAAGCTAAAATAAAATATGTATCTAATGTTTGAGTAAAGGTAAAAAAACGTGCTAACCGTTTGCTACAAGTGAGTTTTTCTATTACAAAATTTTGTGTTGATGTCATCCACATTTTTGCAAAGACGCATCTATCAGTTTGGAAAGATGCACTGTAATACTAGTAATAAAAGTATTGTATTATCGTTATTCTTGAATAGCCATTAATAATATAATCATTGAAATAACGAAACAATTTAATCACGTCTGTCGTATTTAATAAAAACAGAGGTGCGACTGAAGACTGAACTGAAAATTATTTATGGTACTCGGAATTTAAGACAAATAGCGATAACACTTATCAACCTGTAGATGAGAGAGTGAAACAGAAACTAAACTAAAAGATGTTTTCTACGAATTGGAATAACCGGATCACAATGCCGACGGTCCAGACTTTTTTATTGCTCTGACTTCCCCTTATTGCATAAAACACTGCATTTTATTTTGATTTTCGATGTTGTAATTCACATTTGGTTAATTATAACTTGTCTAGATATAGGGGGGGCTCGGCATCCCCTAGCCTCCCCCTAGCTAGGGCCTTGTCTAGGGTTTATGAAATATCGAGAAAATATGAAAGTACCAAATTGCCCGACGTAATCGATTACTGTACGTCCTTAGGTTATCCTCGATAAGAAAAACAACTTGAAAGCGTTTATATTTATTCATCGGAAGAATGTCACGTGGAAATTATTAATTCTTGATTTATTCAATAAAACAGATTGACTGATTTGTTAATTTTTTTGAGTCAGCCTGTATAAGCAAATCTCAAAAATATGAATGCAATGATAAATTAAAGAATAGACTGATCATATTTTGCACGTTTTAAATATTTATTTATTTATTTATTTATTTATTTACAGCTGAACAAAAATTAGAATTGTTGCACTGGCAATTATTTAGGAGGACACAACGCTCCAGATTTACTCAAAAATGTTTGAAAATGTTCTCATGTGCAATAGGTTTGTGTGTAATTTTGTGCTGCTAGTTTACTTTCGGAAATACTAGACTTTGGCAGTTTGAGGAGAGGCCTTATAGGTCTAAAATAAAAAACGAAATCAAATTTACTATGCACTCTCGCCTGATCTCCACTAGTGCACTTCAAATGTGCACCTTATGAGCTTACCAGACAAGTTTAAATGATAATGTCATGGTCGACTTTTTTAATAGAACTATGCTATTCTCTTTTCTTAATTTTCTCAAGGTTTAGTGTTTACAAAAGCACTAGTCCATGGTTCATTTAATTATAGAACATAATACCTGCTGACAGCAAAATTGACTTAAAATGATGAAGTCTTTTTTTGTTATAAGTGTATACATATATAATTGGTAACAATAATTATACAGAAACAAATAAATTCAAGTCAAGTTTTTTTGTACAAGCGTGAAAAATAAATAAGTGTCTAAACTTTAAAGTGTAAGCCACAAAATGATACAATTTATAATAAAACTTCTTTAGAAGTTTGTACATAAATGTGCGGCTGATAAGAAATGTCCCCTTACAAAATGCAAAGAAAACAAACGCAGAATAAACATACATAGTTTGAAAATATGATCAATGCGCTTTATGTAAAATCAATAGAGTGCTCACCAACCATTAGTACAACATTATTATTACCAGTAATTCACCCTAAATAAACCGGTAAGATCGTTTCAGATTATTGTTCGTTGAAATTGGCAGGGTGTAAAGTAATTAAGAATTAATTAAATCATGTAGGTATATTTCTTTACAATCTAAATAAAAGTAAGACTAATTCATTATTACACGACTTACTATACTATTAGACTCAAGTTTAGTTGTTTAAATTTCCTAACATAGATGTCTTTCTTAATTGCAGCCGTCATACTTGTCCCCACAATCCCGAAGATTACAATGATCATCTCCATCTAGACGGGCCTTTCTTAGGTCACCCCAAAGATGAATACAATGCCATCAGAGGTGAACGTGCACCGATCATCATCCCAAAAGATAATTTAAAACCAGAAGGAGAATTTGAAAAACGACAGCCACAGAAATGGTTACCGGGCGAAAGGGCACCAGTTGTAAAACCTCAAGATCATTTAAAACCTGAAGGTGAATTCGAAAAAAGACACCCAGAACAATGGCAACCGGGTGATCGTGCCCCTGTGAAAAAACCTCAAGACAATCTTCGCCCAGAAGGAGACTTCGAAAAAAGAAAACCAGAACAGTGGTCGCCTGGTGAAAGGGCACCAGTGAAGAAACCCGAAGATAACCTCAGACCTGAGGGAGAATTCGAAAAACGTAAACCTGACGAATGGCAACCTGGTGATCGTGCTCCCGTTAAGAAACCCCAAGACAATCTTCGACCGGAAGGTGAATTTGAGAAAAGAAAACCGGGACAGTGGGCACCTGGCGAACGGGCACCAGTGAAGAAACCTGAAGATAACCTTAAACCTGAGGGAGAATTCGAAAAACGTAAACCCGATGAATGGAAACCAGGGGATAGAGCACCGGTTGTTAAACCTCAAGATCACTTAAAACCAGAAGGTGATTTTGAAAAGAGACAACCGCAACCATGGCAACCTGGTGATCGTGCTCCGGTCAAGAAACCTCAAGACAATCTTCGACCGGAAGGAGATTTCGAAAAACGCAAACCTGATGAATGGAAGCCAGGAGATAGAGCCCCAGTTAAAAAGCCTCAAGATAATCTTAAACCGGAAGGAGATTTTCAGAAACGCAAACCGGAAGATTGGAGACCTGGTGAACGAGCTCCAGTTAAAAAACCTGAAGATAATTTACGCCCGGAAGGGGAATTTGAGAAACGCACTCCAGAAAAGTGGTCCCCGGGAGAACGAGAACCAGTGAAAAAGCCAAAAGATAATCTAAGACCAGAAGGAGATTTTGAAATTCCTGAACCAGAACAATGGAAACCAGCCGAACGACCGATTGCACGAAAACCTCAGGACAATTTAAAACCTGAAGGAGACTTTACGGGAACGCGGACCATTATTGATGATTATCGCGTTATAAGAGGAGAACGTGCAGAGATTAAACGTCACGAAGACAATATTACCGTTGGGGGAGAATTTATTGGTAAGTAAGATTAACCAGAGATAAGTGGTTACTTAACTCAAAAATTTGGATGCAGTTTCTGTAGAGTTTACCAAAAAAAACATGATCTTCCCGAGTCTGATTCTTATTATAGCTTAAATTTAAATGCAAAATACATTGTTAATGGCTAAGTTAGACTCGCTAGAAGATATGTTTTCTTTGATCTAAACCAAAATTTGCCATTAAACTACGAATATTTCAGACGAAACCACTACCAGAGTTGACTTCAGTGGCGAATTGGTAGAACGGCCTAGCCCTATTAGACGCAATACCTGGACTAAGATCGAAGGAGACTTTATTACAGATACCACTAATAAATCAGAATTTGTTGATTACAGCACTGTAATTGAACGTACAACATTAGTTAAAAAGAGACAAGATAATCTAACTGTAGAAGGCGAAATGGTATTTGATACTTCAACTACAACCGATTACACAGAAAAAGTTCCTGAGGTTCCACAACGACGCCGAAGAACTTGGACTAAAGACGATGTAGACAAATTCTATTCAACGCAAAGTACAGAAGTAACGACAACAACTCAAGAAAATTATAAACAATTCGACGAACAATACGTCCGTCAAACCGCAATTATACACCGAGATAACCTCAAACCCGAGGGACCATTCGAGGGTTCTCCTAAATCTAAAGAAGATTACATTCCCAAGCTTACCGAACGACCTAAACCGAAAAAGCCTGAAGACAATTTGAAACCCGAAGGCGATTTTGAGAGACCGGAAAAACCAAAATACAAACCTACAGAACGCCCGAAACCGAAACGACCTGAAGATAATCTTCGTCCAGAAGGAGATTTTGAACGTCCTACGCCAACTAAAGTGACACAAGGAGAACGTAGAAGTCCAATTAAACACGACGACAATCTGCGGCCTGAGGGTGATTTCGAGCGTCCAGAGAGACCAGAGTTTCGTCCGGCGGAACGTCCGAAACAAAAGCGTCCCGAAGATAACCTAAAGCCTGAAGGTGACTTTGAACGTCCAGAGAAACCCGGTTACCAACCAACAGAAAGACCGAAACAGAAACGTCCTGAAGACAATCTCCGTCCAGAGGGAGATTTTGAGCGTCCAGAGAGACCGGAATATCGTACGACAGAACGTCCGAAACAAAAACGTCCTCAAGACAATCTGAAACCAGAAGGTGACTTTGAACGTCCAGAAAAGCCAGGATACCAACCAGCAGAAAGACCGAAACCAAAACGGCCTGAAGATAACCTTAGACCTGAAGGAGATTTTGAACGACCAACTTCAACTAAAGTCGGACCTGGGGAACGTCGGACTCCTATTAAACACGACGATAACTTGCGTCCTGAAGGTGATTTTGAACGACCTGAAAAGCCGAAGTATCGTCCAGCTGAACGTCCGAAACAAAAGCGTCCTGAGGATAATCTGAGACCTGAAGGCGATTTCGAAAGACCGGAGAAACTGGAATATCAGCCAACAGAACGTCCAAAAGCGAAACGTCCTGAAGATAATCTAAGACCTGAAGGCGATTTCGAACGTCCAACTCCAACTAAAATTGGACCTGGAGAACGTCGAACCCCGATTAAACATGACGACAATTTACGACCTGAGGGTGATTTTGAACGACCGGAAAAACCCGAATTTAGACCAGCAGAGCGTCCAAAACAAAAACGTCCTGAAGATAATCTTCGACCAGAAGGCGATTTTGAGAGACCGGAGAAACCCGAGTATCGATCGACTGAACGTCCAAAACAAAAACGCCCTGAAGATAATCTTCGACCCGAAGGAGATTTCGAACGTCCAACTCCCACTAAAGTTGGTCCTGGAGAACGTCGAACCCCCATTAAACCTGATGACAATTTACGACCAGAGGGTGATTTTGAACGACCAGAGAAACCAGGGTACAGGCCAGCCGAGCGTCCAAAACAGAAACGTCCTGAAGATAATCTTCGACCGGAGGGTGATTTTGAACGACCAGAAAGGCCGGAGTTCAAACCTGCAGAACGTCCTAAACAAAAACGTCCTGAAGATAATCTTCGACCCGAAGGAGACTTCGAACGTCCAACTCCAACTAAAGTCGGACCTGGGGAACGTAGAACACCTATTAAACATGATGATAACTTACGACCTGAGGGTGATTTTGAACGACCAGAAAAACCAGGGTACAGACCAGCTGAGCGTCCAAAACCAAAACGTCCTGAAGATAATCTTCGACCAGAAGGAGAATTCGAACGCCCAACTCCCACCAAAGTGGGTCCTGGTGAACGTCGAACACCGATTAAACATGACGATAACTTGCGTCCTGAAGGTGACTTTGAAAGGCCTGATAAACCTGAATATCGACCAGGGGAACGACCAAAACAGAAACGTCCTGAAGACAATTTACGACCAGAAGGTGACTTTGAACGACCAGAAAAACCAGGGTTCAGACCAGCCGAGCGTCCAAAACCCAAACGTCCTGAAGATAATCTAAAACCTGAAGGCGATTTCGAACGTCCGACTCCAACTAAAATTGGTCCTGCGGAACGTCGAACTCCCATTAAACATGATGATAATCTGCGACCTGAAGGCGATTTTGAACGGCCAGAAAAACCGGAATTTAGACCAGCAGAGCGTCCAAAACAGAAACGTCCTGAAGATAATCTTCGACCCGAAGGAGATTTCGAACGTCCAACTCCAACTAAAGTCGGACCTGGGGAACGTAGAACACCTATCAAACATGATGATAACTTACGGCCTGAGGGTGATTTTGAACGACCAGAAAAACCAGGGTACAGACCAGCGGAACGTCCGAAACCAAAACGTCCTGAAGATAATCTTCGACCAGAAGGAGAATTCGAACGCCCGACTCCGACCAAAGTTGGACCTGGTGAACGCCGAACACCGATTAAGCATGACGATAACTTACGTCCTGAAGGTGACTTTGAAAGACCTGATAAACCTGGATATCGGCCAGCAGAACGTCCAAAAGCAAAACGCCCCGAAGACAATCTTCGACCAGAAGGAGAATTCGAACGCCCAACTCCTACCAAAGTTGGACCTGCGGAACGTAGAACACCTATCAAACATGACGATAACTTACGTCCTGAGGGTGATTTTGAACGACCAGAAAAACCAGGGTACAGACCAGCAGAACGTCCGAAACCAAAACGTCCTGAAGATAATCTTCGACCCGAAGGAGAATTCGAACGCCCAACTCCTACCAAAGTCGGACCTGGTGAACGTCGAACGCCTATCAAACGTGATGATAATTTACGTCCTGAAGGTGACTTTGAAAGGCCTGATAAACCCGAATATCGACCAGGGGAACGTCCGAAACAGAAACGTCCTGAAGACAATCTTCGACCAGAAGGTGATTTTGAACGCCCGACTCCAACCAAAGTTGGTCCTGCTGAACGTCGAAGTCCTATTAAGCATGATGATAATTTACGACCGGAGGGTGACTTTGAACGACCGGAAAGACCAGAATTTAGGCCAGCAGAACGTCCGAAACAGAAGCGTCCTGAAGATAATCTTCGCCCCGAGGGTGAATTTGAACGTCCAACTCCTACCAAGGTCGGACCTGGGGAACGTCGAACACCGATTAAGCATGACGATAACTTGCGACCTGAAGGTGACTTTGACAGGCCTGATAAACCTGAATATAGACCAGGGGAACGTCCGAAACAGAAACGTCCTGAAGACAATCTTCGACCAGAGGGTGATTTTGAACGCCCGACTCCAACCAAAGTTGGTCCTGCTGAACGTCGAAGTCCTATTAAACATGATGATAATTTACGACCTGAGGGCGACTTTGAACGACCGGAAAGAACTGAATTTAGGCCAGCAGAACGTCCGAAACAGAAGCGTCCTGAAGATAATCTTCGACCCGAGGGAGAATTTGAACGTCCAACTCCAACCAAAGTAGGTCCTGCGGAACGTAGAACACCGATTAAGCATGACGATAACTTACGTCCTGAAGGTGACTTTGAAAGACCTGATAAACCGGGATATCGGCCAGCGGAACGTCCAAAACCAAAACGCCCCGAAGACAATCTTCGACCAGAAGGAGAATTTGAACGCCCGACTCCAACTAAAGTCGGACCTGCGGAACGTCGAACACCGATTAAGCATGACGATAACTTACGTCCTGAAGGTGACTTCGACAGGCCTGATAAACCTGAATATCGACCAGGGGAACGTCCGAAACAGAAGCGTCCTGAAGACAATCTTCGACCAGAAGGTGATTTTGAACGCCCGACCCCAACTAAAGTCGGACCTGCGGAACGTAGACAACCTATCAAACATGATGATAACTTACGTCCTGAAGGTGACTTCGAAAGGCCTGATAAACCTGAATATCGACCAGGGGAACGTCCGAAACAGAAACGTCCCGAAGACAATCTTCGACCCGAGGGTGAATTTGAACGTCCAACTCCAACTAAAGTAGGTCCTGCTGAACGTCGAACGCCTATCAAACACGACGATAATTTACGTCCTGAAGGTGACTTTGAAAGACCCGACAAACCTGGATATAGGCCAGCAGAACGTCCAAAGCAAAAACGTCCTGAAGACAATCTTCGACCAGAAGGTGATTTTGAACGCCCGACTCCAACTAAAGTCGGACCTGCGGAACGTAGAACACCGATTAAGCATGACGATAACTTACGTCCTGAAGGCGACTTCGACAGGCCTGATAAACCTGAATATCGACCCGGGGAACGTCCAAAACAAAAGCGCCCCGAAGACAATCTTCGACCCGAAGGAGAATTCGAACGTCCGACTCCCACGAAAGTCGGCCCTGCCGAACGTCGAACCCCCATCAAACACGACGACAATTTACGACCAGAGGGTGATTTTGAACGACCAGAAAAACCAGGGTTCAGACCAGCCGAGCGTCCGAAACCAAAACGTCCTGAAGATAATCTTCGACCCGAGGGTGAATTCGAACGTCCAAGTCCCACTAAAGTCGGTCCCGCTGAACGTCGAACACCTATCAAACACGACGATAACTTACGTCCCGAAGGCGACTTTGAAAGACCCGATAAACCTGGATATCGCCCAGCAGAACGTCCAAAACAAAAACGTCCAGAAGACAATCTGCGACCAGAAGGTGATTTTGAGCGCCCGACTCCCACTAAAGTCGGACCTGCGGAACGTAGAACACCTATCAAACACGACGACAACTTACGACCTGAAGGCGACTTCGAAAGACCCGATAAACCTGGATATCAGCCAGCGGAACGTCCAAAACAGAAACGTCCCGAAGATAATCTTCGTCCAGAAGGAGATTTCGAACGTCCAAGTCCCACTAAAGTCGGACCTGCGGAACGTAGAACACCAATCAAACACGACGATAATTTACGACCAGAGGGTGATTTTGAGCGTCCCGACAAACCCGGCTATCGCCCTGGAGAAAGACCGCAACCAAAACGACCCGAGGATAACCTTAAACCCGAAGGCGAATTCGAGCGACCTACACCTACGAAAATCGGACCAGCAGAACGCAGAAGTCCCATTAAACACGATGATAACTTGCGTCCTGAAGGTGAATTTGATCGTCCGCACAAACCCGGGTATCAACCAGCGGAACGTCCGAAACAAAAACGTCCAGAGGATAATCTTCGACCCGAAGGAGAATTCGAAAGACCTGAGCTTAAGGAAGTGGGACCTTGCGAAATACGACGACCTTACAGACACGAAGATAATTTGAAACAAGAAGGTGAGCTTATCATTACTCGTAAGGATGACTATCAGGTTACAAGAGGAGAACGACTTGATGTAATTAAACGCGAAGATAATTTGCGCTTGGAGGGAGAATGGGACATCCGACGCAGGGATGATTTCGGTCGAACGGTAGTCGTTGATCGTGTGGATGTGGTAAAGCACGAAGACAATCTAAGAATGGAAGGAGAGTTCACCGATGTACGGACTAGAGATGATTTCAAATTTGTTAAAGGGGATCGATATGAAACTATTATTCGTAAAGATACTCTGAAGACAGAGGGCGAGTTCATAGATACTAAAACCAGCGACGCGTATTCTGTTACCAGAGGTGAACGTGCTGAGATTGTTACTCGACAAGATAACTTGAGAATGGAGGGCGAGTTTAACGAATATCGAAAACGGGATGAATATAATACGCGGGTTATTGAAAGAACTGAAGTTATTCGACATGAAGATAACTTGAAACTGGAGGGCGATTTCGAAAGACCGACTCCTACGAAAATCGGGCCTGGTGAACGTCGCACACCGATACGACACGACGATAATTTGCATCCCGAGGGAGATTTTGATCGACCAGATCGGCCACAATATCAACCAGGTGATAGGCCAACCCCTAAAAAGCCGCAGGATAATCTTAAACCTGAAGGTGATTTCGAGACTCCAACTAGACCGGGTTATAGACCAGGAGAACGTCGCACGCCGATACGTCACGAAGACAATTTACATCCTGAAGGAGATTTTGAGCGTCCCGAACGACCCAAATATCACCCAGGTGATAGACCATCACCTAAAAAGCCACAAGATAATCTTAAACCTGAAGGTGATTTCGAGACTCCAACTAGACCTGGGTATAGACCTGGAGAACGTCGCACACCGATACGACACGAAGATAATCTACACCCCGAGGGTGGGTTTGACCGTCCACAAAAATCGAAGTTCCAACCAGGTGAACGCCCAGTTGCCAAGAAACCCCAAGATAACTTAAAAACCGAAGGCGACTTCGTCCGTCCCAAGGTGTCTGAAGTTGGACCTGGCGAAAGACGTAGTCCTATAAGACAACAGGATAATCTTAGACCGGAAGGCGATTTTGTTAGACCCGAAAAATCGCAATATGCACCTGGAGAACGACCTTCACCTACCAAGCCTCAAGACAACTTGAGACCTGAAGGTGAATTTGTGAAACGTACACCTGGAACTGTGGGACCTGGTGAGCGCCGATCACCAATTAGACATGACGATAACTTGCACCCAGAAGGAGATTTTGAGCGTCCGGAAAAACCTAAATACGCCCCGGGTGAGAGACCTTCACCGAAAAAACCACACGATAATTTACGACCAGAAGGTGATTTTGAAACACCTACGAAACCTAAATATCAACCAGGTGAAAGAGCCCCGGTTGTTAAACATCCTGATAATCTCAAACCCGAGGGACAATTCACTGGTACTCCTAAAAGTAAAGACGATTTTAAACCAACTCGAGGCGAACATGCTCCTGTTAAGCGACCTCAAGACAATTTGAAAATTACAGGAGATTTCCAGGATACGACGATACAAAAGTCTGAGTTTGTTGTCACACGAGGAGAAAGAGCTGAAATTAGAAAACACGAAGACTCGTTAAGAGTTGGCGAAGGTAAAACCGAATACATAACTACAACGAAACAAACCTTTGAAACGACTCCCAAGAAGTCACCAGTGGGTGGTCCAGGAGGACATGCAGTTATTAATAAACGGCGCCATCAAGAGTCGCACTTCACTCTTGGTAATGACACAACGGTAATGCAAACCACCAACCAAAGCAACTATAACACTTACACAAGAAAAGTCGACCGCGTCGATCGCAAAGAAATTGTTGATAATAGGAATGTTAAAACGACTGCTAATAAAACCTCGAATGTGACTACAGACACTAAGACGTTAGCTGATGGTACTATAGTTACTACAACCCGAACAACTACCAAGACCACAACAGGAGCACAAAAAACTGAACAAGGTGCGACACACAATCAAGTTCAACAACAACAACAACAACAACGTCAAGAAATTACAGCAGCTAACCAAGAAATACGAAAATCGTCGTCGCAAACGCGCGTTCATCACACGAATCACCATACTGAAAGTCACGTAGTGGATAACGCGCGACATGAATCCAGCACTAATATCAACCAAGTGACAAGTCGCCAAGAAGTAGCTAACAAACAACATACAGAAAAACACATCTCACAATCGACACACCACCGTAAAAACGTGATGACGTCAGCGGAAGAAATCAACAACCAAATTCTGCATCGCAAAGGTTTGCATACCTCGACGGAAGCGCTTCATGCGACGAGTTCGGCAGCTTTAGATATGAGAAAATCCATCTGCAACCTTCATGATCAAGGCTACGTGTCGCAAAATACTGATCGTCGCAGTCTAAGTTCCATCCACAGATCGACTCAAGAAAATAATATTATCAATCGACGTAATCAACAATCGTCAACTTCATATCATGTCGTGGAAAGGCCACAGAAAATTATTAGGAAAGATAATCTTTCGGTAGGGGGACACTTTTATGGTCAGTCGGAAGCGAGATCCTACGGGGAATTTACAAAAGAGCAGAATGTTCAAAGAGTTGAAAGGGTTACAAGACGGTCGAATATATCGAATATCAGTTTGGGTGATAGCAAGTCGACTATAGTTACATCGTACAAGAAGGAATATATGCCGCGGAACGTTGGCCCGTGTCCTGCAGTTCTGATTGACTTGCCAAAAGGACCGTTCAAACATACCAGAGATACCAAGTCTCACAAATTCTACGCACCGGTTTCTGGCAAATCCGGGTCTTAAATAACATTTATCATTCCAACCTACATATGGACTGTTACGAACTAACATTCTAACATTGTGATATTGTTATTGTTATTAATTATCATAATTTTATTAATATTATATATTTTTATAGATGGCAGAGGTAAACAACAACAATTATACACATATATATATTTTTGCTTAGGACTGGGTTTTATATTTCGCTTGGGATTTTTTTCAATCTAATACTTGCCTTATATTATACCTATTTTTTTATACGAGAAGCTTGTGAAAGCTTGTAAGAGTATAAAACCCAATAAAAATTATGATTATTTGAAATATTATTTGCTTTTGTTTACGACTTTCCGTTAGCTCGCCGATTTTACCTTAGTTTTTTTTTGAGTAACTGGCACATTTCGTTTTATTTGAAGCTTTAAATGAAAATATAAAATAACGCTCACCGAGATAAATTCGTAGTCACCGCCAGTGATTGAAGCTCCAAATTCGTTTCACGTGATGTTGGTGAATCGAATTTTTGGAGCTGATTGTTCTATTTGTATCCAGCACCGGTAGATAAGCTATAACTTATCTATTTTGAGTGCGAAGAAGTTGTGAATAATTCAAATAAATATTTTATTATAAATACGAGTTTTCTTGTAGATTTTTTAAAGTAAACAGTCTTTTGGGAATTTTAAAAATAAAGAAGTTTGATAAGAAATCTCTTATCATGTGACTATGAGATAGGGTAAGTATATATATTCATGGAGGGAGAATATTACCGGAATGCAAACTGCAAGCATTCGGATGTAGCGATCAAAATGTGGCAGGTCTTGTGGTGCCAGACATAATAATTAACTTGTCTAATGCGAAAACCAAGCTATAGATGCATACACTAGTTGACTTCTAACAGGTAGGTTAAAGATACTAATGTCGAATTATTCAAACATTAAAAAGCAAGAAGATGTAACAAAAAAATGCATATCCATGACGTAGACATCTTGCATTTTTTCTTTGGCAGTGACGAGTCCTGACTCAGTGAATTTCATGAAATCTAGCAAGTGTTTGTTTAAACAAATCTAATGTCTGTTAAATTGGGTTAGAACCAGTTAATGATTAAAATCCTAACATGAACTGTGAATGTACAAACAATTAAGCAAATTTACACGTCGGTCAAAAATTCACATTTTCCGATTAGAAAGCCGCAAGAATTAGCTACACACGTTGGGGAAACTGTGGCGTCGTCATCGTTACGATTAGTTGTCGTTAAACAAAGGCTTCCTCCCTTTTATTAAGTACAAAGCCAACTAACTTAACCACCAAGCAGCCACCTTGTCCCTACCAACCCTCTAACTATAATTCCTCAGCGAGCTACCAACTACCCAAAAAGCGTTAACGTGCACATGGTTGCCTGTGTTTAACGATTTTTTTATTGATTTTTTTGTTAATTATTTCAGCTCGAAATTTTTAATTCAAATTCGGTCACCACAATTTATTCGTGAAACCTAACCGAAGGGCAAATTCGCAGTAGATTAAAGGGACACCATCGTTACCCCCATGTGTAAATAAATTTTACGATGATTTTTAATTGATAATTCGTCAATCTCATGCATTGCGACGACGGCGAGACGCGACGTTCAGAAATTCCACACATTGCGACATTTATTGTTCAGCTGCTGGATTTCCCCGGAACGCGTTCGGATTTGTTAAAATTGTTATTTAATTTCACGAAATCTCTAGAAATTGTTCATTTTATTTTCTCGTACGAAAAAAACACATCAATATTATACCAGAAATGTTTGGATGCAATATTTTATAATTTTCTAAATTGTGAAATGTCTCAGGGGATGGATGGTTCGTCTTCAATTATTATTATTTAAATTTAAATAGATTCCCATTTGGAATTCCAACCTAGTAATTGGCGGTATTCAATAATTAAATTTTAAATATCATTGTGAGTACAAAGGGGAAAGGGAATTTTATGCTGATTTTGACTCCAAATTTGGAACATTTATTCTTGGACGCACCTCTCAAAGCGACGTACGTATCGAACGATATTTTGTGTTTTTGGCCATATTTAACATTTGTTTTATGTATTTATGTGTCGGGGAATTCAATTCATGATGTACTCTTGTTTCAGTAACTTTGTTTTATTGAATTCGGTTGGCGAGTTCGGTCCAAGTCTAGATTGACAAATTTTTCCTGTCATTCTTATGACTGTTTATTTCGCATACCGGATTCCACCAACGCGAGATATGCAGAGGGTGTCCTACTGGTAAAGGAAACTTTACTGGGGGTAGCTGTGGTTTAATAAATCTGCTAACACGCCACCATAATAATTTGGGCATTCCCTTCCATTTTCCTTAGATAAGAAGCACATATTAGACCATTGTGTACATTTAAGAACAAGCTGTGTTTATGTGATCGAAATTTGTAATTTTGCACTTGAAAAGAACGAGATTTTTGTATAGTATTTCCAGTGATAGATTCAACTATTTTAAATATCCATAGATCACAAAAGTCCCCAGAATTAAGCGCGCGAATTCTAGTTTGGTGAATTGCAGCCTTGAATTTTTTGACAAATGTCATTGAGGTTAGACGCGCATGCGTTGGTTTCAATCGTTTAAATTAAAAATTACATTTTTTCGGGTTTTTAGAATTTATGTTGTGCTTTAGATTTTTGTATTGGGTTACATTAATCGTATAGTGATGTGTTTATTATAATATTTGTAAGTTAAGTTAAAATTGTGTTATCTGTGAACTAGTGTTGTGGGTAAATACAAACCTACCTAGACAAAAATATAAACTCCATAAACAATAACGATCTAATAATGAGTAATATTGCCCAGGTAAGTGTATGATGGCTTATTTAAAAGGCTTCATGTGTATATTTTTTAGGAAAACCAAATGAAGCGAAATTACTTAACAGTAATAGACAATACTGTGGCGCAAAAGATGATTGCAAATGCTTACGCTTTCTTCAAAAATAAAAATCTATGCTTGGGATCGCCAGCTGAGGTCAACAAATTGTGCAGTTGTATGCATGGTTTCTTATGGGTATTTGAATGTTTATAGATCACAGCTAAATGTTTCGGAATTAGTAGGAACCAAGTAATAAAGTATAAAAATTTTACTGATGCAAGTGCAAGAAAAATAAAACGAAAACGTCCAAAAAAAGCAACATCTGACCTGGATCCAAACATCAAACGTGAAGTTCGTCTTGTCTTGTACGATATGGTGCAAAACAGTAAGACTTACATCAAATTTAACTTTTCTGACGCAATTTTCTTCCAACTAGAATTTGAACTTAACTATTCTATAGATTCCCAGAGATTCAATTCAAATAGATACAATAAATTTTAATCACATTAAATTTGTTCTAGGAATTCATGCAAATTTGGATACCTTGGGAGCAGAATTATCAGCTAAATTTATCTACACATATAAAAGATCTAGTTTAGCACTTCTATTAAAGAATTTGGGATTTTCATACAAAAAAGATGATAGCAGACGTGCTTTAATGGAAAAACCACATGTTGTAGCGCTGAGGAAAGTATTTCTATCAAAATATATGGAGAATGTTAATTCTGCAGAGAAAAAACCTTTCATATATTTGGATGAAACTTGGGTATTTTCAAATGGAACCGTTAGGCGATCATGGCAGGATGAGGATCTACGTTCTGTCAAAAGAACTTCTGGAGACGGCGGTAGAGTATCTACTACACTGAGTTTAATTTAGGCTAATACAGGATCAATGCATTTATGTCTAATACTGAAGTTACCTCAAAACAATTTTAGGTAGATACATTATAATCAATGCTGGTAACGAAGTAAGATTTGTAGAAAATGCTTCTCTTATATTTAAAAGTAAAAATAACACTCTGGATTATCATCACGAAATGAACGCTGAAAATTTTGAAAAGTGGCTGCAAAACGATTTGTTACCAAAACTGGAAGAACCTAGTATAATAGTCTTAGACAACGCCAGTTACCATAGTCGACTTGAAGAAAAGCGACCTACAACGGCGTGGAAAAAAGTTGATCTTCAATTGTGGCTGCAAAAGAACTGTATCGCATTTTCAGAGTTGGATAAAAAAGATACACTGTTAAAGCTATGTAAAGCTCATTATAAAAAGCCAGTGTATGTAGTAGACAATATTATTACTGCAGCTGGTCATGATGTTTTACGTTTGCCTCCATACCATTGTATATTTAATCCCATAGAGATGGTATGGAGTCAAACAAAACGTTTCTACGACAAAGAGGTTTTAAAATATAAAAACCCACTTGATGCCTGGAACCGAGCCCTACAAAATGTAACACCGGAACAATGGAAAAGCTATGTTAAACATACAGAAAATATCATTAAAACCTATTGGGACAAAGAAAAGTTTGTAAAAGTAAATAATATTATAATAAATTTAAACGTAGAGACAGATGAGAGTGATAGCGATTTTAATTTTGCTGAAAATGATATATGAAGAAATAAAGTTCTATTAGCCAAATACACTGACGTCATCCGAGGTCATCAAGATGGCAGCGTTTGACAACTAGCCTGTTTTCTCACAAGAGTCAATGCTAATATTTTCGGAATTCATTTAAATTTGAGAGCGTGTCAACTGTGTTTTTATAGTTTGGTAAGTTTGTTACAGTTTCTAGACTGTGTAGATATCTGTAAAACGCACCATAACGTTAGAATATGCTTAAAAAATAATGTTTTCCAATGTGATGTACAGGTTAACTTCGCTGCATCTTATATTATTTGTTTTGCAAATTAATTCTTTGTTAATGTACATCAATGTTTTTTAAATACACTAGCATCTTAATATAATATTTTGTATTTTAGGAGAAAATGCCTAAACTTTGTGCTGTTGTAGATTGCGCGAATCGAAGCACCAGAAATGCGGACAAATTTTATTTTCCTTTCCCAGCAATTAGCAACAATAAAGGTAAATATATACAGGATGGGGAAAAAGGCGGAAGCTTTGGTTAAAAGCCTTGAAACGAGTGGATTTAACGAAGCCAAAGTAAAGTATTCCTATGTTTGTTCAATCATTTTATTTTGGTACAGTAACTACCTATTAGATTTACAATTTTTAATAAATTACTACATTAGTGCTCTTTTAGGTAAACCTGCAGATTTGTCGGATGTGGACCATCCTGATTATGTTCCATCACAAAATTTAGGATATCAAAATAAATCCACTCGTAATACTTGTAATGTTGAAAGACAAAAATAGAGAAAACTGAATAAATGCCTCTAGACTTTTGAATGCACAAATTTCATTGTGGGTTATTTTACTTATTCCAAAAATAAAAAAGTTTAGAATGATATTCATATTGTTATGGTAGGGACATCGTCTAAACACAAATTAAAATCACTTGCACTCATTATATAAGGATATACGCCGTTTAAATTGTTTAACTTTTGTACATATCTGCTTTTCTCTTTGACGGAAAGACATCGTGCATAATCACTTAAATTATCCATACTTTAAAAACAAATTATACACCTTCACTTAAACCCGTCACATTAACCTCAAACGAAAATATTAATTTCCGATTTACCGCTTAAAACACAAGAGTGTATTTTGGGTGACGAGGAATTCAGACCAAAACAGCGTTCTGTATTTTTATTTTTATTAT